TCAACTCATTCAGAGTTTTCCATGGACCAAGAAGGATTGTTTTTATTTTCTTTTATTAGGTTTTTGTATTATTTGGGGATTTACATTCACACACTTTCTTGTTTATGAAGCTGCCATATGCAGCAAGCCCTTGATAAAATATTTTTCTTCTTGGCAGCAGGCTTCCCAGACCAAAAACTTCCTACCAATTTCTTTTATAAATTTGAATTTTGGTTGTCATTCACTTCCCCTTGAAGATTTGCGAAAGGAATGGGCAAAGTCTCATTTGCCTGCTGTTTTATGCACAAACCCAGGGAAACAGAGTTCTACAAGACTTTATGAAATAACGAACAAAAGATAAGATTCTGGTTTAATAACAAAAGTTAATAATAGTATATAACTATATATCGATTTCAGTTTCTTCTAGCCTCAACACTGCCTTATCCAAATAGAAAATAAAATATTTTAAAATTTAAATCATTAATTTCTGAATAAAATAGATGTTTAAAACAACCTATCCGATTTTGTAATTGTAGGTAACTTTGTGGTATATTTGTTATTACTTGTTCTGCAGACATTAAACAATGAAGTCATTCGTAATGCAAACAGAAAATGTCAACGAAAAACAGCTTTAATTGACCTTTTCAAAAACACCTATAGTAGGCCATCAGATCCAAAACTCAGAACCCCAGGCACAAGAAAAAGTCCCTTTGGAGCCCTGGACCTTGTCAAGACTAAAATTGCCATTTCGGACGGCCGCCATCTTGTCTAATTAACTATGCTTATGCAACATTTTTGAAGAATACTGCAGGTCATTGTGAATGGGGAATTAGCGTTTTCGCATGCAAAAGTGCCAGGTGTGAGAACTCACCAGACACCAAATAGCCTCCAAATGTCTGTAAATATGACAAAAACGAATGGTGAATTTTCCATGACCAACCTCTGCTATTTACACAATAACTATATGGATGGGGTTGATAAATCGGCTATGATGTTGGGCCTTGTATCGCACCAAATATAGCTCAAGAAAGTGGCACCAAAGAATGGCATAACACCTTACCAACCAGTGTGCTGTCAATGCCAGGATCATCTACAAGGAAATGGAAGGAACACAAAGTCATTTGAACTTCTTCACTGCCATTTGCAACACTCTTCTGTTGGGAAACCTACAAGACAGCGCATCTGATGAAGCCCAGCCAACAACACCGAAGAAAAGAATGAAAGATGCTGATGTTCCTGAAAGTGTCAGATGTGATAAATATGATCATTGGCCAATTCTAATGAATATACCAAATGCGCAGAGATGCAAAATGGAATGATGCAAAAGAAAAACAATGTTTAGTTGCAGCAAATGTAAAGCTTAGTTATGCATCAACAAGAGCACTTGCTTTTTAACTTTTCATGGCAAATGGTTCAATATATACTGTTATAATATACTAGTTCCCAAGAAATATAGTTACATTGACTCAGCAAATGCTTTGCTTCCAGATATTTGTACATAAATATGTTAAATAACCTCTTAATTCTTCAAATGATTTATTTCTAAGATGCATGTTGTCCAGTGTACTGGTTAAAATTGAATGCTTTGCTGGTAGTTCAAACTGAAAAAACACTGTTTGGCTGAAAAAATTGTGGTGTGAAATGGCACATCAAGGTCTTCCGCAGCAGTAGCTTCAACAACTGAATGCATTTTGCCATAGCAAAATAAGATGTGGAAAAGTTTAGTTCTCATTAAAATTGAATGAGTCCATGAATTTGTTGAAGACCTTGTCTAACCAGTACACAGGATCCCACTGCAAAGGCCACCACAGTTCATCTTGGATTTCCAATGGGAGATGGTCCCACAAGGTGTTCCTTCCTTCGACAAATCATTCACATATATATTGGCCATCTGTCACCTTACTGGTCATGTAAAGGATCTGCTCATTTTCTACACCAGGCACAGGCAATGAGCTTGCCTCAAAAGGAAATGTCGCGGTCACAATGAAGAAGATGAAAAGGTGCCAGAGATGAGATACCGTAAAGAACATGCCAAGATGAAAACCTCACACACGGCGATTCTAGGGATGAATTGTGCAAAGAATGCTTTTCCAAATTCCAAATTAAATTCCTTTGAAAGTATTGAATTAGCACAGCATTTTCGTATATGGCTCATAAGAAACAGATGGCAGACCAAGATCACTCATATTAAGGTTGGTCTTCACATGGGGCTATTCATGTCCTGTTGACCATACCTTCAACCATTTTATGTAGGGTTTAATCTATTGTATGTATGGTTGTAAAGTTAATAAATAAATAAATAAATAAATATTCTTATACAAGCACCATGAAGCATATGTATGGCGAGGAAACGTTATGTTTCTCTTGCAATCTGGCAAACTAAAGACATACGTTGATTAAAATAATTCCTGTCGAATCTCAGGTAAAATATTGTTAAATTAATTTTATTTTACAGATTTTGCCATTTAACACAAACTATTACACAAAATTAGTTAACACAAACTATTACACACAATAGATTACATGGCTGGAATTACCACACAGAGATTAGTTCACCAATAATGGGGTTCCAATGTATGCCATCTTGAATATATTGCTGTCACCATTGTGTTTGCACCCCTTGCAAATTTTCCAAATTTACCTGTGGGGAATTCCAGTGTGTTTGCACCCCTTGCACTATTGTGTTTCATTATAACATTGTCAACCTTGGAAGGGTCTGTTGCTTTCAGTTATAGAGGCTTAACACCATACTGAGTTGATTTCATTAATTCAAAGCAAAATTTGCACTTACTCAGCATCGGTTTGAGCGATTAAAACAGTGACAGTACCTTAAAAAAGGCCTGCTATACACATAGCCTCTTATCAGGCAAACCAAGCTTTCGCAGAAAAATCACCCAAAAATTGACATGATTGGTCCCTTGAGCCTCTCTGGGGTCCATAGTCATTACCCAGCATTTACAGAGTTTTATGGGTACAATATAAAACATGAAAACCTTGTCAAAATCTCACCTATATTATATTTTTATTCTCAAAGACATTTTTCAATTGATATCTCTAATTCCTCAACGATTCGGACAAAAAAGTTCCATGTACATCAAAAGGATGACTACCGTCCAAAACATCCTCGATTTCTTCCATATTCACATTTGCAAGTTTTTGAGCACATTTGCAAGTTTTCGAGTCACAATTTCACTGTCCCTCAAATGAATAACGACTGCATGCACCGTGTACGGATGAGGGAAAGAGTCGGATGCTTCACATGATATTTACTGAACCAAAATATGGTGAACTCTCTACACTTCTTTTTAAAACAAACAACGCAAACCCCACAATCTGTGTTTTCATGACCGCTATTCGCTCTTTGTCCTTGTTTGGGTTGTAGGGTTTTCCCCCCGGCAACTTGAGATGTCAAATGTTGAAGTTGTAGGTTTTGAACCTAAATTATATCGGCCTTTTATCAGTCAGAATGAAGCAATCTGATTGGCTCAGGAGTTTTTCAGAGTGGGCCGGTTTTTTTGCATCCAGCATGATCTGAAACACAACTGCCCACTCTGACAAATGTAAACAAAATCACAAAAACGTCATCTTTTTATATGTGAAATAATGTAAATAAGAAAATTATGGAGGAGTCTTATGATGATAGTAAAAGCAACTTGTTGATTTATGCCATAAATGACTTGAGTCAATTCAGTTTTACATCTTGCTCAGAATAAATTCAACAAAATCCTAACTAGTTGTATTGTCCATTGGGCAGAATGAAGCTGGAACAAATAAAAAAAAGTATCTTACATAGATAATGCCTCCACTTTTAAGTATTATTTAAGGGATATTTAAAACAAACAACGCAAACCCCACAATCTGTGTTTTCATGACCACTATTCACTTTTTGTTCTTGTTTGGGTTGTAGGGTTCCCCGGCAACTCAACGCTTTCAGAGTGGGCCGGTTTTTTGCATCCAGCCCGATCTGACACGCAAGTACCTGCTGTGAAATGCAACTGCCCGCTCTGAAAAATGTAAACAAAATCACAAAAAACTTTGTCTTTTCATATTTGAAATAATGTAAATAAGCAAATTATGGAGAAGTTTTACGATGATAGTAGAAGTGAAGGTGGGTGTTATTACCCAGAAGATTTAAATGACGATAACAAAGAAAATTATGTACCAAGCAGTTTTAGTGTGCCTTTAAACAACCGGCAACTAAATTTGACTGACATGGCTGAAATTGACTCATTTATCGAGCAGCAACACCTGGAAAATACTACTAAGAAAACTACATATGGTCTAAACATTTGGCAGCATTTTTGTTCATCTAGAAATGAAGGATGTAAAATGCACTTTACTTAGCAAAAAACTACAGCTTTCATGGCCTGGTGTCACGGTGGATTTGGACTCCCCGCTGATATGGATTCCCCCGGTCCATATCTGCTAGAGGATTTGGCTCCCACATAATTGAACCCCCTAAAATTCACAAAAAGAATAATTTTTAATAATCTCCTCAAATTAGAAAATGCAATCTCTAATAATTCTAAGAATCTTAAAACCTTTTTCTGTCTGCATTCGCAAAAGCTATAAGTTCACATACAAAAATTACATATTGTGTCTGTCTTCCCAACATTAAATCATAAGTTTTATTGTCCTAAGCTTGTACTTGTGCTTTAAATTAACATTGATTTTCATGAAACAATTTGCAGTTGAATGTGCATGGAAATTTAGTCAACAGTTTAATTGAAAAAATGATAACTAATGGCATGACTAAATTATCTTGGAATTTGCTTAATGACAAAAACAAGTTATTGAGATGCTAATTTTATAAAAAGTTCGGGTCGAATCAGAGCAGGTTGGACACGGTCTGAAAAGGATGATGGGAAACATTGCGTTTATTTGCGTATTTCGGGTCATTTGCATTTGCACGTTGGGTGGACAAGAGCTCCTGACGCCTTAATTGTTGCTGCCATTTTATTTGCGAATTATAAATTGCAAAATAAAGAGTATTTTTAAGAATTTGATGATAGCCTTCAAAGATGGGTATTAAGGGTCTTCATGATTTTTTAAAATCTATCACAAAAGACTGTTCTATTGAAGAATTTCACGGAAAATGCCTTGGTATAGATGCATCGTGTTATTTGTACAAGGGGGCATATTCTTGCGCTAAAGAACTTGGCCTTGGAATACCAACTACAAAGTAAGTATTATCTCATTGTTTTCAAACTAACACAATATGAATTGTGCTATTATGTAACGTATGTTTGCCTGGTGCATATAAGCGATAGTGTGAATTCGAGTCGCTGAGTTGATTGAAATTTACATATATTTTGTCAACGTTTTTTAATATATTGATTTCATATAATCTAAATGAAATCCACTTTTATACTTGTCCATATTACCGCATTAAAATATGTATGTATGTATGACGACAAACGACTGCAGCTACCACAATATCTATCTTAATAATATTTTTGTAAAATAACTCGTAGCTTATAGTATGCCAAAAATATACACTATTAAATACTGCCTATTAGCTGTACAAAAGTTGTCTTTAATCTTTATTTAAAATATAGGTATACCAACTACATAATGGGGAAAATTTCACTACGTCGTGTTCACAATATGAAACCAGTGATTGTGTTCGATGGACAGTAGTTACCAGCAAAAAGCCAAGTAAATAGCCAACGTGACAGGTATATGTCATTCCTATTTCTTTCTCACTGTCACACATTATACTGCACCTTACATTTTTCCTATTTATATACAGTCATGATATTGTTTTATATAATATTGTGTCCTATAAATCTAGGACAAGAAATGAATTTTTGGTAAAGGCCAAAGAGTTGTGGCATTCTGGTGCTAAAGTAGAAGCAATGACTTATTTCCAGAAGGCCTTAAAACTAAAATTCAGTATGGTTCAATCACTAATAGAGATTAATTAATTAGAGATTAGTAAACAACGAATGATACCATGTATATGTGGAAATTGTTCTATGGCAAACTCAAGGTTTACCAATGATGGGGATTGGCTATTAAATACAGACCGTTGACTTCTGAGGTAGCCAGAAAAAATACATTTCTATACATGTGACTTATTTTTAGACTTTGAAAGGAATGGACATTGAGTATGTTGTTTCACCATTTGAAGCAGATGGTCAGTTGGCTTATTTGGAGTCACAAGGTGTGATTCAAGCAGTGATAACTGAAGATTCTGACTTACTTGCTTTTGGTTGTAAAGAGGTAATAGTCAACTTATACTGGGTATGCAAAAGATTTAGAATATTTAATGTGTTCATAATACATGTATTTTCTGACAGGTCATATACAAGTTGGATTTGAATGGAAGGTGCAAAGTTACAAGACAAAATGATATAAACAAGTACATGGACATCCGAGGCTTTAAATTGAGTACCTTAGGTACATGTGCATCATTACAGGTTGTGATTACCTTAGCAACATTCATGGTGTCGGCATTAAGAGGTTTATTATTATACAGAAGTTTGCCAAATCTAAATTAAAGATCGAAGAGGTATTGGTTTCATGACGTATTCTCAACCAATTTAATAGCTAGTGTCCGAGACTATCCCCTTGACCAACATGAAGTGATGACAGAAATAAAATAATACTATAGACAGAGTAAATAATCCAGCATTTAAGACGATTTATTTTTAATACTTTCGCTCTTACAGGCATTACCATGTATGGGGTTGTTTATTGGTGTCAAGTCAATAAAAATACCAGATGATTAAGTAGAAGAATTTACAGTGGCAAATCATAAATTTCTTCATCAATCTGTATTTCATATAAAGACCAAGCAACAAGTTCCATTACTTGAAATCCCACAAAATACTGTGATTCAGAATAAAGAAAACTTTTTGTATCCTTTATAAGTTAACCCATTAAGCTGAAGAGCTTCCCCATTGACAAGTAAAATTGTCTGGCATTAGACAAGTAAAAAACATAAGTAGGGTGCACACTGGGGTGCGTTGCAGCTCAATGGGTTAATAACAAATTGTTGCAGTGTTTATATATATATATATATATTCCCTCCCCCTTTCAAGCCATTGACTTCCTTTGAATAAGCCAATCACTTGTTTTACTAACTCCCCTTTTAATTAGCCCTCCCCTTTTTTGTGGCTTAAAATGTATAAGCCTATTAAGAGCAGGGGGTTTAGTGGAGGAAATACAGTGTGTTTGTACTATAAATGCCAATTATTTGACTAGTGTTCTTAACCATAAACTATACATATGGATAATATCCTGGATTTGTGTCTTGGGCATTAATACTGAAACAGGCTTCAAAGTGAACAACTGTTCGCTGGATAGTTTACAGGTATTGCATGTTTAATTGCTAGTGTACAGACATTGTACTATTAATGCATGGTATCTGTGTGGAATATTTTTGCCATTAATATCATGGTTTATCATTTACAATCATAACCAATAATACATATAAAACTACATATGGAACCCAAAACAAAGTTAGAATTGTGGAGAATTAGCATGCTGTCTATTAATTTATTTAGGGTTTAGGGACCTGGGAGAATATGGGGTGAGAAGTACAATAATGCAAGGAATGTAGATAGTAAGTATTATATAATACCTTATTGAATTCTGATCGTTTAATTGGCTGTTTATGGTCACATGATATTGAATAGAAAATTCCATTTCCCAAGAAGAGTGGAATGGAATACGTTCCATTGTACTATACGTTTTATTCCATTGCACTCTGTGTTTTCGATAAATGGGCATCCGTTAAAATGCTTCTCATATGAATCTATTAGTCCATTTTGGTATTATATAAAACAAATAATGAATGTTCATTCGTGCAATAGTAAGAGTATTTTCATTCGGTGAAAGATGGAATGTTCCATTCAACTCAGCTGTCGCCTTGTTGAATGGAACATTCCATCTTTCACCGAATGAAAATACTCTTACTATTGCACTCATAAACATTCATTATTTGTATAATGTCAGTGCTGTCACAAGGCAAATATGTATCACTACATACAATTTACTTTGTGTTTGTTGTGATAGTCAAAACATATCTTTCTTGCAGCTGATCATGAACAAACTACACAACATTCAATGCTGAGATTAAGGATTGTAAGAAAAGGGGATAAAGTTATTTGGACCATTCCTTGCTTTCCAGTCATGGACATAAGTTTTGGCAAAGTGACATTTGAAGGCAAAGACAAAATATACCATGGCTCAATGAAACTTGCTGATCTGGGAAAAAACTCTGATTTGACAAATGCAAATATTGTGTGTTGGAGAAGTTGTAACATAGACATTGAAGATGTAACATATGTTGTGTTGTGGGATTGGGAATGAGGAACATGAAGCACAAATGAGCGATTTATCACATGTATCAGAATCTTCCCTTTCTGAAACTGATGATATGTCAGATAAGGCAAGCTCCAGCAATCCTGAAGAAGTTGATAATGTTGATAGAGATATATTCCCCCCAATATTAACACATACATTACCTTTCAAGGTAATTGGAGTGACACACACCAAAACCTACCAAAATCACCTGGAAAAGGCTCTTTTAAAGCTTTGTGAAAATGAACGTTCTGTAACTGCACATATAATGCCCAAACCTGACAATGAGAGAGATCCAGAAGCAATATGTGTCAAAATCGACTATGGGGAAGGGCAAGTTCATGTAGGCTACATTGCAAGAGAACTTACAATATATATACATCCTCTTTTCAAACAAAACAAAATACTAAAAGTAAGAATTGGAAAAATTAAATTCCAGACACAATGGCTGCGAATTGGATTTTATACTAGCATACTAATACGGCACATCATGTTACATTGTATTAAGGCCAAATAAAAAAATTTCCCGGTTTCTCATCAGAACTTTTTCAAAATATTTATGAGGCGCGAGAGTTTTATTTTTAGCAACTCTAGAAGAATATTGTTCTGTCCGTTATAAAGATAAAACATACCCTGGAAAATACTTTAAGGTGCTCTGACATATTCGTAAAAAAATGCGACGGCTACTTCACAATGCCGCCGCCGATGAGAAACCGGGAAATTTTTTTATTTGGCCTAAAATAACTTAGAAAGCTTATAAAATTAAAGCTTTTATTGAAATAACTTATGCAGAGTAGTGTACCAGTATCTACTGTAATTACCAGCATTTTCACAACATACAGGATAATAAAATAGACGTTCTCTGACCAAAAATATATATTTATTACAAGCTTTCGGCTACCAATTGACAATACACACTCATATTTCATACGCAATTATGCAAATTTTTCTGTATATACAATAATAGACTATAGTTTCATATTTCATACACTCATACCCGTTGAAGGCTACAGATTGGTAGCCGAAAGCTTGTAATAAATATATATTTTTGGTCAGAGAACGTCTATTTTATTATTATGTTTCATCCTGGCCGCGCATCTGCCTCTATTTTTTCAACATACAGGATGTTTAAAGTGTTTGGAAATCTTTTTCTCCATTATCATGGAGTCAAATGGCAATTAACGCACCTGGGTTATGTCTGCACGATCATCACAAGAACAATCAATCAAGTCATACACAACGCAGTTTTACTATTTATGTCTCATTTTAGCTTAAATGTTCAGACTTTTGTATCCCTTATACCATTTTACAACTTATATATCACCAGTATCATCACTGTTTATCTACATTATAAATCAGGCTTCACCAACATCATCACAGTCCATGTATCATCATAACATAATTCACTAGAATCGTCAGTATCCACACCATTCCAATTCTATCAGTCACATTGAAACGAAATTTCACTCCACACACCATTTGATGTTCACCCAATAGAATGTCCCAACAGGTCAGCAGGGCCATTTCACAGCATTCCAGGATCTGAATACCTGCAACCACCTTTTTGATCTAATTCTAAAAGAAAAATGAATAAATAAGAAACTACAGCTCCCAGCAATGTGTGAAAATTATATAGTTGCTTGCAAGCAAGTTTATATTCATGTGAAACTTGAATGTTTGTAATATGAGTATTTGACTGGTTTTAATCTGATCAGCCAATCACATTTAACCAGTCCTACACTGACTGGCCGTGCTAATTGAAACATGCAAATGCTCATTACAAACATCACATGAGCATCAACAATGTTTTTATCAGCACGGTTCATCCTTTATATAGATGCAAGCAAATATAGTTTCAGTTTTCTATGTGTAGCCTATATTAAAAATATGTATTAACGAACATATGTATGTTGACTTTAATCTGCTTTTCTGTGGTCAACATAAGTCTTGCAAAAAATCAAAAATTTCCTGGGCTTGACACCCACCCCCTCCCACAATACTAACTTAATAGCAATTAATACTCAGTGATAAGAGCCAAAAATATAAAATTAGACAATGTTGGCATTGTTGGGTAATAAGTAAACACATATGCATTCATACAAAAGGTAGAAGCTATGAAATATACAAGTGTGAAGAGTACTCACTGTGGTTTCTGTGCCAACAAACAATGTTTTTTCTGGTTTTCCCGGAGTATTGCCTGTTGGTGTGCCAAATTTCCTCTTCCCTGGTTTCATCCTTGGAATATGGGAAAAACAGGAAAAAACCTATATCAGTATATATGTCCAGCTATACCACAGCACACAAGTATAAATACACAACTATGTGCTACAATTTTAGCATGTCTTCAGCGATGTATATCTCGAAAACTAAAGGAGGTTCACACAGGTTCACCAGCCTTTTTAGAACTACCAGTCCTTATAGTGTAATTCTAACTTAATAAGGGGGAGCTTCACCTAGAAATTTGGTGATACTGGAAAAAAATATCAATTGGCTCTCAATCTGCCAGCCAACAAAACGCAATTACTCAAGATCGAGTGATAAATAACGAAGATTTGGTTACTGTAAAGTCAACATCGGCAAGAAAACTGGAGAATGCTAGTTCTGAACTACCCCAAACTCCCGAATTTACAAGACAGAATTCACAAGAAAAAGACGGATACCGGATTGTTTATATTGAGAACATACGGAAAGCTGTTGAAATGATGCACAAATGTAAGAATGGGACAATCATAACTTGTGAAGATGCTTCAAAACGTGCAGGATTGAGCAGCAGCTACTATTTTGAATGCACCAAATGTAGACAGGGAGTGGACATGGATACTTCGAAGCCAGTCGAGGGAAAAGCTTGTTCTTTTGATGTAAATCGGAGAACGAATTTTGCCATGGGTGAGTTGGGCTTAGGCAGAGAGGCTCTTGCAACAATTTGCGAAATTTTAAATATGCCACCCCCAGTAAGTGATAGTGCTTATCAAAAACATAATCGCTCGGTGAACTTAGCAACACGAAAAGTTTTGGAAGAAAGGTTGAACGATGCCGGCCATCGAGTACGCACATTCCTGCAGAAGGATGATGCAGAAATTCTTGATGTTGCCGTGTCATTTGATGGTACATGGAGCAAAAGGGGCTTCACGGCCAACTATGGAGTTGGAATTGTCATTTCTGCTGATACTGGGGAGGTCTTGGACTATGTTGTTTTATCAAAGGTCTGTGAACTTTGCAAAGCTGCAGAGAAACACAAAAGCAATCGCGATAAATACCAAGAGTGGAAAGATGCTCATGCGGCCAGTGGACTGTGCCAAAAGAATTATAATGGTTCTAGTCCTGCTATGGAAAAAGAAGCAGCCAGAATTTTGTGGAGTAGATCTGTCGAGAAGCACAAGTTCCGGTATATTGATATGGTATGTGATAGCAAGGCATATGGAGAAGTGTGGGATATATATGGGGTTTGTGATGATTGTGAGAAATATGAAAATATGGACAAACAGTCAGCAGAGTACCAAAAGTGGTTGAAATCGAAAGCACATGCTAATTGGGAGAGAGAACATAGCACAAGCAATGAAAATTGCCATCGGGTTAGCAAGCTTGATTGTGTCGGACATGTGCCGAAGCGTATGGGCAAAAACCTGATAGCTCTGTCTGGAAAGTCAAAGCTCGCAGATGGTAAACCGGTGGGAGGAAGAAATATTATGGCAATGCCATTAGACGGTGCGTGGACAAAAAGCGAAAAGTAAACAAGAAGTGGAGGATGCAGTAAAGAGAATGCAATGTGCGATAAAAGGAGTATTGTACCACAGCGTGAAGATTGTGGATGAAAAGAAGAGGCATCAGTACTGTCCTGATGGAGAAGGTTCCTGGTGTTCATTCAAGAGAGACAAAGCAGTAGGAACCAATACTCCTTTTCTCGACAAGTCACACCATCTGGATCCAGTCTTTTTAGAATTTTTAATACCGTTATTCGACCGACTTAGTGAGAAGAAGCTGCTGAAAAGGTGCTTACCAGGGCTCTCACAGAATGCTAATGAGTCTGTCAACTCACTTGTGTGGAACAGATGCCCTAAACATAGGAACAGAGGGATAAAATATGTTGAGACAGCAGCTGCCTCTGCAATCATGCAATTCAACATTGGTGCGGCTGGTCGACATGGCGTCATGAAAGAGTTGGAGATCTCTGGTGGTTACTATACAAAAGCTGGAAGTGGGAAAAAGAATAAGAAGAGAGTGAAGCAAGCAAATGCAAGAGCCCAAAAGAAATTTAAAGAAGCAAGGCAGAAGATCCGACAGGCGAAATTGGTTGAAGAGGCCAGATTGAAGGCATTAGAAGGAGTAACATATCAAAGCGCGGCATTTAACGAAGATAATTTCAATGGTTCAAGGAAGAGAAAGACAGATAAAACTACTCCTAAGGAAGGCAAGAGCAAGCAGACAAGGAAAGAATAACACTTTAAAACAGTAAAAAACACTAGAAACACAAGTTTCAAGTCTACTTGGCTTTAACTGCCTTTTTCTCAAATTGCGATATTCGGCCGCTCATCAACTGCCCCCCAAGGCTATCTTCTTACTCTTTTAGCGAAAATGTACCATTTTTGGCACACATGTAGCCCAAGGTATGTAGAATGCTCCTATTACCCATTTTTTTAATATATATTTTCTAACAGGATTTACAGTGAAAATTATATGTGCAATCTGTTTTATACGTTACCATAGCAACCATGGTGAATGACAAAAAAAATGGGTAATAGGAGCATAGTTCAATATCCTAGCTACCATCATGTGCAATTTCACTTGAATACACAACATATTGAAAGGGGTTTTATGGGGGGGCAAAGTGGCCATTAGAATTTAGTTTTCTATATACTACTCTCTTCTGTGGTGTTAAATTTCAATCTGATTACGAACACTGAAAAAAATTTTTGTTCCATTTTGTAGCTTAATATCTGTAGTTTCTAAAAATATATACATAATGCATATTTTGTCTTAAAACATGCCTGAAAACGATTGTTAAAGTTGGCCTAAGTTAAAGTAAATTTCAAGGTGAAGCTCCCCCTTATTAACCACAGAAATGGGAGGTAATATAATTTCTTAATTGTTCTGCTTGAAAATTTGGCCAAAATCGGCCTACTTTTGCATATAATATGAATTGAAATCGTGTGTATACAAAATGGCGTGTTTATGTTAGCACTTCATTCTATGACTGTTTTCATGAATTGGTTATATGTTCATCACGTTTTGTTTAAAAAATTATCCAAAATATCAGTTTTAAGTATGTCTTGTGTTCGTCCTCTTAAAAGTTGATTCTGTCTGCCTTGTCACCTATCGGGCTTCTCATTGGTTGAAATATCCACCCATCATCCTTTTCGGACTGTGTCCAACCTCCTCTGGGGTAGAATGGAATGCATCACTCTTTTTTATGGGTATGCTAAGGCAAAATGAAATATAATTTAATTTTCCATTTTATTTGAGCAGTTAAGCATCAGAGCATATAGCAATTCCAAGGAGTAAAATATTTGTGAAGGCTTAAATACTCTGTGCGCTTTTCTAACATTCCAGGATCATAGAAATAAATCCATCCATCCGCCATTGACATCCGCCATGGTCTTACAGTCATGAGTTACTCTTTTGTCTGTGTGGGCAGAAAGCAATCGTATTCGTAGCAACAGTGTAACTTTAACTTGTTGTGAATGCAATGTTAAATGGCATACATTTGTGTGGGTTTCACTGGAATGTTGTTGAAAGAAGCCTGTAAATATAGCAAATGGGTTTGTCCAAGTTGTTTTGTAATGCCTGTCGCTTGGGAGAGTGATTTGGGAAGCTAATTCTTCAAGACCCAGATTAAAACTGAGGTGTTAAGAGTTGTACCTGTCATAGTAAGAACAGTTGTTAAACAAACTGAGGTGTTTGCAGCTTGCACCTATGCATCGGTTACTAAGGAATCTCAAGAAGAGTTCGTACATAAGTGCATTGAGCAATCGTTGTCAATTGTGTGGAGAAGGGCTTTCAGATAATCATCGATATTGCTGAAAAAGATCGTCGGAAGAGAAATATTGTTATACGTAATGTGCCTGAAGCGATTGGGAATACAAATGCAAAGCACAATAAATGCGACAAAGGGTGGACAAAATTCTGAATATCACGCAACTTAGCGATATTATTAACGTTGTGCGATTGGGAAGCCAAAAAGATAAAGATGGAAATGTCAGTATCCTCGTCCATTACTTATTACCTTGAAGACACCTGATATGGCAGAGTATTATCATGATTATGGGATGGCCTATAGAACGGACGAGGGTTACTGGATTAAACCAGACTTGTCAAAATTACAAAAAGAAGCAAATTTTTGAGCGAGACAACAACACTGTGAATTGAGAAAAAAACAAGTTAGGCATCAAAGTAACTTGGCAAAAAATCAGTGCAATTCAAGGGAATGGCGACAAGGTAGTCTCTGAATCAGGACTGAAAGTTAGAAAGCAGAATATTAAATTATTATATGCTAATTTTAACTTGTTGCTAAATAAGCTGTATGAGATTAAGATGATGAGATTAACATTTCTAAATTCGAGTCATTTAGAGTTGACAGAAACGAATTTGGGGGCAGATCAATTATTTACACCCACATTAAGTTAAACGCTTGTCTTTCAGATAGTATGAAGGATTGTGTGGGAGTTAAGCTTGAGACAATGGCTGGATTAATTCATGTAGTTTGTATTTACTGATCACCATCATTATCAAAAGTTGAAAACAGGGCGCTACTAAACGAGATTGCTGAATTGCAAGTAGATGATTACTCTGAATTAATAATTGTAGGTGATTTCAACTTGCCGGATATTAATTGGGTTTTTGGCCGTGTTTTGGCTCCTGATGGCACCACAAACGAAATACATCCGAGAATACTTCAAACACTAGTTGAGAATCCTTTATGAAGGCTATAGTGGAACTGTTTAAGAGTTCTGTTGGATTACACAAAATACCAACAGTTTGGAAATATGCAATTCTAATAGCACTACATACAAAGGGCCTGTGCTTAACTTGGAGAGTTGTAGACCTGTGTCATTAACATGCATATTGAGTACAGGGTATGAGAAGCTGTTGAGGAAGCATATGCTTTGCATGTCGCAGGGTATATCTCACCTAGTCAGCATGGGTTTGTGGAAGGTCGATCATGTTTATCGAATTTATTGGAAACGCTGGATGAAATTACTAGGACAATGGAAAGTGGTGATGCTGTGGATATAATTTATTTGGATTTTCGAAAGGTGTTCTACTCTGTGTCGCAAGGTAGATTGTTAATTAAATTACAAAAATTTGGTAAAGTGGGAAATCATTTGAAGATTGTGGAAGATTTTTTGTCAGACAGATGGATGGCTGTTCGAGTTGGCAGTGTACTTCATCTTGGAAACAAGTTACTTCAGGAGTGCCCCAAGGTTCCATACTGGGAGCTCTATTATTTTTGCTCTACATTAACGACTTACCTAATGCTGTTTCATCTACAACAAAGTTATTTGCTGATGATGTTAAGCTTATAGGCAATGCTGAGAGTCCAGATAAAATCTAAGAGGACCTTAATAGCTTGACAGACTGGAAGTACAAGTGGTGCTTGTCTTTCAACATCAAACCATGCTTTGTAATGCATGTGTGATGGGATAATAAAGATTGTAACTACTTGTTAGATGATAATTTCTTTATCAGTGCTTCAGGAATCCGATTTGGGAGTTAAAATGTCTTATAAGTGCAATTGGAAAGATCAGATAGCAAAAGCAGTTGGGAAGGCAAATCGGATGGCTTCATGGGTGTTTTGTAATACCGTGTCTCGATCTAAGAGTGTGCTCTTACCAATATACTAGAAATACATGCATGCAGTAACCCCTCGACAATATTTTCCAAACATTAAATTAACATGAAGTATTCAGAAATTTTTTTTTTTACAAACTTAGTCATAAATGACAGGTTAACCCTACAGAGCTTAATGCTCCATTTACAGGGTCCCTAATAATATGTATATATGTATATATATATATATATAAAAAACAAAAAAAACACATTACATTATTTACAACATATTTTATCCACAAGACTGGACAACGGATGACACGAGTGACACTTGACACATATACTTTTAAATGTTTGTGGAGCATTAATGTTATATATTTCTTTAGTCATTGCTTCATAATAAGTTAACAGGTAAGATTTGAATTGGCTGACAGTAACGCTTGCTTCTTGAATATGTGGTGGTAGGGAGTTATATATTCTGGGAGCTCTATTATAAAAACTGTTCTGAAAAGTTAATGGCCCACTGAATGCAGCCTCGTGCTCAAGTGTTGCCATGACAACACGATATTCTTAAATTTTTTATTTTTTCATATTTTTTGTACTAAACTGCAAAATAGTTGAAAGATTCGTACTTTTAACTATACAACAATAAATTTCCGAAATATATACTGCAGGTATATTATTTTGCATTTTGTGACGGTTCGTTTGTAGGGTTTCGCGTCACAATATTCCCCATTCGGATAACCTAAAAGCACTTTTAATGATTTAAGCACAGTTAATTTAAGTGACGAACGCCCTTCACACATTTTCAAACCGATGTTGAGCTTACTCAGGTACATCGTCGGAATCAGTATTTACATCCACGTTGTCTGCAGTACCTGTGCTATTTCTTGATGACTGGCCAGTGAGATCATCTTTTGTATTGCTGCTGAACAAGCACTGTACTTTACGCGCAGATTTCGATTCAGTTCTAGACATACTACTCGAGTACCCAGAAAACATTGCGGAGAACAAACGCGATTTGATTTAGTTTGGTTGAATGGACTAGCGCCACGGTCAGCGGGTCAGGAATTGACAGTTTACGCTTTCCTGATGTTTCTACATCTTTGGGCTGGTAATGGTGTTGAAACTTCTTGTGTAGTACTGCAGTGTATTAACAAAAGCCAACTTTCTCACATATAATCTAAGAGCACAATTCCGAAAGATTGTTTTCTTTCTGATGATTTTTTGTGATGAAACATGAACAATTTTACTAAAACTGCCAAATTGCTGTTTAATTTAAAACAACATCTACAAAATCTGCAATATTGTATTAAATTGTATTATAGTATTGAGTTTAATTCGCAATATTGTTTGATTGACATGTTTATGTGCAAGCGAATATTTTTAGAAACCAATTAATTATGTTATGACTGGGGCATGTAGTCATGAAAGGGGGGCGCAGGCCCTTAATCCTCCCCCGGAGCCCGCCAAAATCCTGCCCGCTGCAAATCAGGCCCCCCATAAATTTGAGGGCCTGCCACGCAGGCTAGCAGAGAGCAGGAATATGTTGCCATGTGAAGTTAAAGAAGCAACTTCAGTGAATGATTTTATACTGAAACCACTGCAACCACTGGGACGTATGTCACTAATTTGATTTCATTTCCTGTAGTTTGACAGTTTGTTCATCATTCATTAAAATGTAAATGTTTGTTGTTAAATTAAAATATAAAGAAAATTAATTCCGTAGCCACGTTTAAATACATCTACCCTGCGTTCAATGGTTTCTGAGCTGAGGAGAAACCACTGCAACCACTGGGACGTATATCACTAATTTGACTTCATTTCCTGTAGTTTGACAGTTTGTTTTCTGTATGTAAACAAGCGTAGCATAGTACTGTTTTATTTGTTTTCTGTCAGTTTTAATATTTGACCTGCACTGAAGGACTTAGCATAGCTTATACTCAGTTATGCAGATATATTTATGTAAAAATCCATGTTCTAATTGGTTGGACAAGTTAATATATGCTAACGACTTAAAATGACTCAAAGCAACATAAGTGAAACTTATAATAATAGACTATTTGCACACGTATAATTATAGTGATCTCCTTCTTTATATGATAACAGGTTGTTGGTGACTCCTGCCTCAAGTTTTGTAAATTGACACTCGATAAGGATTTGAGCAGCAACCAATGAGTTATTTTGATGATCGACTTTGTCGACCATGCCATTTCGACCACACATGCAGTTCCCACGGTAAAGAATAAACGTCTTTGTGACAGTGCGTTCTGGATCCGCAAAACAACTTCTTATGATCAACTCGAACAATATAACTAACTCCCTTGCCTGCCATGATTTAGTTGTTCGGTTATAGGGAAACCACTATACAGTCTAGTCTAGAACTCCTCGAAAGTTCACGCCAAACGGCATGAAACTTGGTTTATTGAGGTTGTAATAATTGTAAGCAAATATACATACTCAACATATGTCAAAACAAATAACATAAGCCTTAATCTGCACGTATTGTGATATACAGGGTGTCCCCAAAAAAGTACCCTCTACAGGTATAGAAATTTATCCTATTGTTCTTAAGCACAGGTCACAGTCACATTTTATGCAACTGGTAATTAAAAATTCAGTATATGTTAAATGATATTTTAAAACTGTATGCAAATAATGCAGTGTTTACAACTGCATTCAAACAATTCTGTGGGCTATATTTTACAATAGCTATAGAAATTAAAGACATCGTGGAGACAAATAATTATCATATGACCAACACGGCAAGAGGATCAGCGTCCAATAAGAATTACCAATTTTGCGTAGGGTGAGTCACGATAATGATATTAATGAGGCTTTACATTCGCTTATGTGCTTCTGTGCAGGTCAACTAATTGAACGACTTTTTATTCTACATAAAGTTCACAATTTATGTATATTGTTATTGTCAGTACTAAAATATTTTGAAATCGGTGCCTCGCCCTATGGCTACAAATTGTGCATTTGCGGCAGCTACATGAAACAATCGTTTTCGTGCTTGTAGTGGTTTCTCCTCAGCTCAGCTAGAACACTGCTAGCAGGGTAAAATATGTCTATTTTGGTTTCAAATCTGATGAAATGGTTCATAGAAAACACTGAATTTTGTTTAGTGATCAAATTTAAACATAATATTCCCAGTGTTTGGATGCATAAAATATTTTTGTTGGCTTTGTGGTCCCAGAAAATAAAATATTTTATGCAGCCCTGAAGGGCAATATGTGCTAAATGGGTGGGAGTATTGGGCAAAGTGATGTAGAAGCCTTATACTATGACAGAGCGAGAGGAACATCTAGGTATGGTTGACACATACCTTGCCAGCCTCCCCAAAAGTTTAAGTTCACCAATCCTGCATAGCAAGAAGTTGGCATTTATGGCTGATAATAGGATACGCCAGTTGGGAAAACCCAGAATTGGGATTTTCACTGACCGAGTTAAACCTGACCCCTTGCACTGCGAGATAAATGCCTGGCAGCACATCCTTGATTTACTTTATTCTGAATCACTTCCACGATGTTGCTTTGAACAGTTTATCGAGACATTATCAGCCCCCATTGGACTGAAAGTCCTGCCACTCCTAAAAGGGCTGTTGACCTCATAGGGGAGGGTGTTGATAGTGCTCTTGAATCCACTGATGTTATTGATAGACATTTTGTAGAAGAAAAGGTTGGAGTAAATAGTTCCCAAAACTCAAGCCTTTCGCCAGATATGCTTAGACCTTGGAGTTGAGCAAAGATGCTGTCTCTGACAACATGATGGCAATGCTGGAGACTTCAACATTTGCTTCTTCTAATACCCTTTCTGGTGTGCACAGATGTCGTCTGGCATTCCTCTCGACCAAAGTGAGAGAACATTATGCAGATGAGGCTAAGCGGTTGAATAAACTCAGTGTTAGGCTTATTGGACCACAAGCTATTGCCCTGGCAAGGTATTCTTACCGAATTGTTGACTCCTTGGAAACAGCAAATGAAACGGAGGGTGAAAAATTACGATGACTAGTCCTTGGAAAGATAGTGCAGCACTTGCGAAATGCTGGAGGATTGTTTAATAAAGTTTATGTTAACATTCTTGGAGAGATATCTCAATCAAATGCATTCTGTAGACTTTATTTCAACTTGTTGGTGCTATTCTTTCCACACACTGTGAATGTGACTATTTGGACAGTTGCTTATGCTTTGCCTTACCATACGATGGAGTTGGGTATGGTATGCTCCAAAGTGTCAAAATATGGTGCACTTAAGGGTAACTTTCCATGACAAATCGGTCTCGTAGCACTGATAAGAATGGAAAGTGGTGGCAATTAATGAGATCAAATTACATCAGATTTTCAATCTGCCTGAGCACCATCATTCTCTAGTACAAATCACATTTTAAATCCCGTAAACCCCCTCATTGTGACATAGCAAGATTCTGTGACTGTGAGAGAGGGAAAGATGATGTAAACCACACACAGTGCAAATTCTGTTGTGAGTGTGCAATTGTTGTCACATGTGCTCAAGAGAAAATGTTTTTGCCTGATATTGTTGCTGTTCTCAAGCCCTGTTGTATGTACTGTGTGCAACAAGAGGTTTGCTGACTAAGCAGGGTTGAAGGTGCACCAAGACACCATGCATTGTCCACAATCCTTCTACGTTGGTGAATCCTCAGCAGTCATTGCAAACTTTGTCTGTAGATCAAATTAAATGCCTCTTGCGGGAAAAGGGCCTTTCTGTTTCTGGCAAGAAAAGTATTCTGTTGACATGCCCAGAAAATAAACTTGCAGAAGAGTTTTAGTTGTCTTATTTAATTCCTTGTGCTGTGCTGTAATGCAGGTTTCTGTAATTGTGTTGTCTTGGGTGAAGCTTGCTTTTGATGTATGCTTGTGAGGGGCAATTTTTGTTTCTGCAAACTTAGGGTGCCATGTACATCTTGGCTGCCTATGTTGGGTCGAGTGTTTGCTTGGCCAGTGTTATATCTTGCCAGTATTTCATACAATCAGTTAAACCATGTAGGCAATCATATAATACATAGATGCCAAGTCTCACGCATTAAGCGTGTGACACACGCCTCAGCATCATTTCTCACGCTCACACGCTTCAGTTTGATTATCTCACGCATAAGCAGAAAGTTAGCTGAGAAGCTAAAATGTAGAGAAATAATGGTGATTGTAAAATGTTTGAACTAATTTCTTTTGGTATAAGCTATCAATAAACATCAGACTGTAAAACTCGTGTTTCCTTGTGTATTAAATGTTATCACTGTCGGACATTGCAATCAACACACTACTTCAGGATGTAACCTGATCGCATTTTTAATTGCTATTGCATCAAGCTATCCGATTATACGGCTTACGTTTGACGTACTTAGTAGGCGAGGCTATTACTCAGCCCCGCTAAATTATTTATTATGTAAAATCTAAATCGAGAAATTACTTCATGTTACAAATTTAGAATTCTGTGTAGTCATGCATAAAAGCGCGCAAATTTATACATAAATTCAGTTAGTTGCGCTACAGATGCAAAGTACTGTATATATAGAAAGTAAAAATCTCCAAAACTGATTTTCATGGCTGATGCAAGCGATTCGGTATCTGGTTCGGAAGATGAGTTCAATTCTCCCGAAAGCCCAGGTCCTTCAACATTAAAACAAAGTAGTAAATCGACCAGGAAAGACAGTGGAGCTGCAAAGTACAGATCCAAATTTAACACTGCTTGGAAAAAAACAATACCCTTTCATCAACGAAGTAAGAACAGATAAACACAGCTTTTACTGTACAATCTGCAAGCGTAATGTAAAATGCGGTCACATGGGTCTTTCGGATGTACAACGACATGTTACAACATCAATGCACCAACGATATGCAAAAGACGCAAGATCGCAGACAACCCTTTCTTTTCATTCGTTATCAAGCCCTGTAACTGAAAAGGTAAATCTGTTTTTATTTAAGGATAAATTTATTCTTCCTTATAATATCCAGTAATTATCCGTTGTAAATAAAGTTTTTCCTTTTTTGTTGATGTACGTAGACCATGCGCGCTGAAGTTAAAGTTGCCACGATGCTCGTCCAGCACAACATCCCGCTTGCCGTCGCTGATGAACTTACACCACTTTTTCAAGATATTTTCTCTGACAGTGAAATCGCCAAGAACTATTCCTCTAGAAGAACAAAAACCGCTTGCATTATCAATGGCGCTGTTGCTCCTTTCTTCCAGCAGAGTCTTGTTGAACATGTAAAGAATAATCCTTTCTCTATTGCTATTAATGGCTCCAGCGATAATGCTGTTGAAAAAATGAATCCTTTGACAGTTCGAATTTTTTATGTCTCTGTATATATTTTATCCTTTATTCCATTTATGCTACTTATATAGGTTTGAATCGATATTGCCATTTAAGTCTTCCACTGCAGAAATGGATAAGTTATCTGAGGAATTTATCGAGTTTCAACTGCTCCATGATGAAAATATACCCAAACAAATTTGGGATCAAGCCACAGTTAAAGTGGACGCTGAAAATGACAAGTTTTACCACCGGATGGACATCATTTGGCATTACCTTTCATCACTGAAGGCCCCAGATCATACTGCTTGCTTTTCAAGACTTTCCAGGATAGCTATGCTAGCACTTTTAATCCCGCATTCTAACGCCCAAGAAGAGCGTATTTTCTCCATGGTTCGTAAAAACAAAACTGCGTTCCGGCCTAATCTTGATCCCAGGGGAACATTATCAAGCATCCTGACTATCAAACTTGCTAATGACGTGCCAGCCCATCAATTTGAGCCAACGAAAGAGCTTCTGAAGACAGCAAAATCCGCAACATGGAATTACAACAAAGAACACTCTAACAAATAGAATTTTGATAGATGCATGAAGATGCATATCGAGATATATGCGTATTCGTTTACAACTATAAACTTAAATGTAACTGCTTTTAACTACAATATAATATTCCTAAATATATATAAATGATCTTTTAAAATTTTACTCTTGGAATTGTAGTTTTTGTTTTGACTAATCATGTTTTCACATGCATTATTACTAATACTTGTTAAACATTGTGCCTTAATTTAACACAAAATGTACCTCTGAAATATTGTTTTTGAGAACCAAAAATAACACCCAAATATGTTCTGAGAACGCTGGAAATGCCGTTTTCTGAGACCCAAATTTCAAAAATTTTCCGGGGGGGCAGGCCCCCGGACCCCCTACGCTTGCTGCGGTATGTTCATCTCACGCATGGACAAAACGAAACCTTGGCATCTATGAAGTGGGGCCATCCAACATGGCGGCCGTCAGCTCCAATCAGCTCACTTCCGGCTTCACTCTGAACCACAGCGGCACTACAGTGTTTAAATCCTCATGAAATGGTTGCACATCGAGACATAAGGCAAATGTGATGATATTAAACGTTAAGTGAAGGCAAAAGTGATGATATTAAACGTCAATACACCTCTTTTCTGGATGAAGAGGTCCCCAGTATTTGCCACGTTTGAAGGCCTTTGACCACAAGGAGGATAGTCATATTGAGAAACTGTTTTATGAAATGATGATGTCAAAAAAAAATTCTAAAGTTATATTAAAAATTGTAGGTGTTTGAAATATATTTTTATTTTTATCCCACCCTGCACCCCTCTTGTAAATAAAAAGTGCTTTGATTTAATGATATTACTGATAATTCAGAAAATCCAAGTCTTGGATTTTTAAAAAATGGTCATGGAAAGTCATGGAATTTTACTCTGGGAAATGTGTATGAACCCTGATAAATGTTGCTGCATGTAAAAACAAAAAGTTAACTCCAAAATATACATGGTATACAGTAAGATTAATATTTTATGCTTGGACATTGAAAATAAACAAAAAAACTGTTAAACATAAACTGCAAAGTGAAGATAGCTTGTTAAGATACAATCTCTGCGAATGACAATATGCAAAGCATTTAGAAATAAACACAATGCATGGCGAAATAAAAACAATGCAAGGTATCTGAATAGCAAATATTGTACAGTACATTGTAGATGTCTCCTCCATTGTTAATTTTAGGAGAAAGACAGTGAGCGTGGGAGAGCTTCAAGAAAGAGCAAAAAGATTTTCCACAAATTATCAACAAATGTAAATGCTGCTGCTACAGAGTTATGCAAGTATTTTGTTAAAGGAAAATCATTTGAGCAAGCTCGGTTAAAAGTGGATGCATCTGGATATCAATATGCAAAAAAGGCATCAAGATCAACTGTCTATGGGCACTGGCAAGCAACCAGGAAAACCAAAACGAAAATATGTAGGTGCTGAAATAAGAGCTGTTAGAGTAAAAGAGCTAACAGAATCCATATCATCTCTCAAAGAAACAATTGAGTTGCTATGTAAACAAAAGCAGCAGTACAGCAATGCTGAAAAGTTCCTTCAAGCAGCTGATGTTAATTCATCCATTCTTGAAAAAAATCGAGAGAAAGGCATGCTTGAAAAAGAGTTGAAAGCACTCAACAAATCAAAGTCAAAGAAAATGTGTTGAAAAGTTAAAGAACTTCCTGAGTCAGTTGGAAGCAGTGATGTATTTAGCAATGATAATCCTGAAATTAGTGATACACCTGAAATTAATGATGAAATTAGTGATATACATGATATACACCATGGCCTTTGGTAAGGGAAAATACAAGTGTTGGTATCAGTACTTCTACTGTCACATCATTGCATAGTCGAACCATCAGTGAATCAGCCCAGGATTTTACAGAATCCCCAAAGTAGATTAATCTACTTTGGGGGGCACAAATGAATGCCAACCTCAACTCTGAGAAATGTCTTGCAAAATACATGAAATATATGAAGCAAAATCTCACTAAAAATTTTTAGAACCACCGAGTATTTTAATAAAATACAAAACAAGTGAAACTCCAAAAATCGATAACATTTTTATTTATCTACGTTTCGACTATATTTCAGTCATCATCAGGATAAACTAGCTAGGTTATATATCAAAAGCGGTATTTATATGAAGAAATATGATACAATAGTTAGGTTGATTATTAACAAATTAATGAAATATGATTAGTTCTTTAGAAGCTTTAAGTCCATGATTAAGTTCAGGTTTATATCTTTGAATAGCGAGGGATTCTTGATATAGTAAAAGGGACCAATGGTTAGATTTATCAATTATTTTAGTGTTGTTGAAAACATGTTCAGCCATTATACTGGTTTGATCAGACTTTGCGTCATCGTCGGGATAAAGTTCTAAAAGGGCTTTAATATGTTGAAACTGTTCGCAAGTAGAGAGGTGTTGATGGATTACAGATTCTGTGTGATATGAATGTTCCTTAGTTCTGGTGTATAACCAGCGATCAGTTTTGCCGATGTACCTACTATTACATCCAGGGCAAGTAAATTCATAAACTACAGAGCTTTGATAAGTTTTCGGGGTTTTATCTTTGCATGACACAAATACGTTGCTGTTAATGGTTTTCCAGTTAATAATGAATCGGCATTTTAATATGAGGAGAGGGGTTATTTTGCGTATCAACGAACGAGCTAGTCTTTCACCAAATTTGCCAAGATAGGGTAGTTGTAACCAGATATTAGGAGTTTTGTTTGATTCAGTCATTGTGGCTTCGTTGTCGTTGTCATTAGATACTGGTGGTGATGGTTTAAATTGGTTAATAAGTTTTTGGGTTAATTTGCGAGGGAAACCATTCCAAGACATGAAATTTTGAATTTGTTTTAATTCGTTGTTCAGGAGAGTGGCATTACTGCAGATTTTGTAGGCGCGATTTACAAGAGCACGGATCCAATTCATATTAAAATGCCGATTCATTATTAACTGGAAAACCATTAACAGCAACGTATTTGTGTCGTGCAAAGATAAAACCCCGAAAACTTATCAAAGCTCTGTAGTTTATGAATTTACTTGCCCTGGATGTAATAGTAGGTACATCGGCAAAACTGATCGCTGCTTATACACCAGAACTAAGGAACATTCATATCACACAGAATCTGTAATCCATCAACACCTCTCTACTTGCGAACAATTTCAACATATTAAAGCCCTTTTAGAACTTTATCCTGACGATGACGCAAAGTCTGATCAAACCAGTATAATGGCTGAACATGTTTTCAACAACACTAAAATAATTGATAAATCTAACCATTGGTCCCTTTTACTATATCAAGAATCCCTCGCTACTCAAAGATATAAACCTGAACTTAATCATGGACTTAAAGCTTCTAAAGAACTAATCATATTTAATTAATTCATTAATAATCAACCTAATTATTGTATCATATTTCTTCATATAAATGCCGCTTTTGATATATAACCTAGCTAGTTTATCCTGATGATGACTGAAATATAGTCGAAACGTAGATAAATAAAAATGTTATCGATTTTTGGAGTTTCACTTGTTTTGTACAGTTCCACAACTTAAGCCTTTTTTCTACTTCACTTCGCTCGCCGCCCCGCCCTTGATTACATTAAAACAACATTTCCAGTTCGCTTTTTATACACTAGTCTGATTCTCCATTTAACATACGAGCCTCTAGTCCTGCACTAGGGTAATTTTGATTTACGTTGGACAAAGCTACAGTTCGGTTGGACAGCAATACACTTGGGTCGGACAAACAATACTATAATTATGAATCATTATGATGGTTTAGGATGACGACCTAAAAATGACTCAGGTTTTGGATTTTTAACCAAGAGATGGTATAGCTTCCCATAGATAGTAATTATACATACCAATCCAGAAGCAGATTTTTCTCCAATGATTGCCACTCTTGACCATTTCAACATTTTCAACAATGCTATACTTGCTTGAATAGCAGGAAAGTCTGTTGGGATAGCTCGGTATAGTGATGGATAATGAGCGGCATCGGATAAACTCAGGCTGGTGGATGTATGGGATACCTGAAGGGGAACAGAATCTATTTCACTTTCAATCATTTGACGCATGCTATAAAAGATGAGCTCAAAACTATATATAATCTGGAGTGAATAAGATTTAAACCCGAGCAACCTTGGCTGTTGGATTCTATTTCAGACTTCAGAGTCATATCATCAGGAAAACATCATGATACAAAGTCCAACACTGTGTTGCAAATGTTTTAAGTTGACTAAGTCGCGAGAATATCTTGTGTGCTTAAATATGGATTTGAACCTGTGCTCTCCCCAGTTGACTCGATAGCTCAATTGGTAGAGAGTTGTCAGCCCGGTTCTGGTTGAATATGCGAGTTCAAATCTCGCTTCAGTCAACTTTATGTTGAAACGCAGTGCTGGGTTTTTCTCATGAGCTCCATTGTATCTTGGGCTGCTGGGTTCATCATTATCTGACAACGTTCCACGGTTGACATATTTCATAGGTATGCCACTATATGTAGCTAGCAAAGTGATAAAATGAAAGTTGCATGTACAGTTCGTTAGAACAGAAAACGTCAAAAAGTGTTCATTATTGTTAATTTTATTGCCACGAAATGAATTGATAGAATTGCGGAAAGAAGAATTTACATGAGAAAGACGAAGGAAAACCAATCTCGTACAAAGAGCCATTGAATCGAGATTGAAGGAAAACCAGCAGTACCTTAACAGAGTCAATTTTATCATAATGATCTTTATATAGCAATTAACACCGGACTTTATAGAAATAACGGAATGAGTAATGGTTGTCTTCTTCTTTATCCTCGGTGTAGTTAAAGTCTTCTCACCTGAGCAACATTGGCGAAGGCTGTCATCCCAGCCAATGTTTGAGTTGCGTCAGAACATGCAGCACCATATACTGCCAAGATGCTAGGAGGTTGAGCAAGTAGAGTCACCAAGGAATTAAAGGATACTTTAGGATCACACTACAAATCAATGCAAAGATACAACAAGTCAACGTATAGATTATTATAATATGTGTTTCATGAACTCATTTGAATTGGGAATCGAAACGAAACGCGAATATGGCGATGAAAAATTATTTGCCTTATTTGAATGAATAGGGGAAAGTTTTTGCTCTACTTTCTTACTGTACATTGGCTGATTGGCATGACTATAGCCTGTTCTAAACGTTGCATTTTACATGCGCCGAATGCATTCAAAACAATGGCTAATGAGGCATTTCAGCTGATTATCTGTTGTTTTGAATGCATTCGGCGCATGTAAAATGCGACGTTTAGAACAGGCCTATAGCAGTAATATTAAAGAACGATGGAATCTTTTGACGGTCACGCTACGACCATGCATGCACTCATTTCAGCAGCCCATGCACTAAACTTCTCAAAAATATCTGACCTTACTGTCTCCTGTGACCATATCTAGTGTGTAACCAGGCAGAATTGATGAATCATTATTGATGTAATCTAAGGCAAGTCTTGTTCCAGCTTCCAACACAAACCCAGGAACTCTTGCTTTGTTTGGCAAAGATGGAAACATACCAGCAAAGTAAACTGTCGTACTCATTGCTCCTCTATCAGTTGGAATAGCTTGATCGTCTGAGAAGGGCGATTGAAAGGATACTTTAAAAATGTTTGGAATTAATGGATATCAAATGAAACAATTTGTATGTTGGCTATTATAAAAGAGATCTAAAGACTGAGACATGATCTTGAACACGTATGTACATGTAGCTGATGTAGGTAAACCCCATACAACATGCATTGAGTTTGGTACAGTGAGTAATTAATAGTATAGGGTGCTGTAAAACACGGCCTGTTTTATGGCGCTCTGGTAATATATAGTTAATACCCCGTGGGAATTAGTGAAAGTATTATACAGAATATATTAGTGAAAGCACAGTAAGAGTCAGGGCCATTGTGACCTGGGTGTGGGCATGGGGTGCGACACCCCCACGCAATATTTATTCATGAGTAATTTCAGGTAAATTTCTAGGTGACTAAAGCTCATTTTCAAGTAAATTATAAGACTTGCTAATGTACTCATGAGAAAACCACATTAAATATAAAACACTGCTTTTAGGCAACGTAAACCCATAATTCAAAAAGCAGGTAATTTGGACGCTTACATCTCCCCTCCCTCCCCCAACGACAAAGTCTTCGCTAAAGTGTCCTTAATCTAGAACGTGGCCGGGACGAAAAAGCAGTCAGTCTCGCCACAAAAACAGTTTTAATTCTCTTTTTTTGTTGAGAATCGGCGGTCCAATTGTTATTACCGTTGTCGTCGTGTGTGTAAATTACGTTCGAGACAGTTTTGTCGTCACTTCCCGTACTATGGATCAAATATTTTTTCTAATATCAGCCTATATATATATATACAAGGCAGAAATTTACAACTTCGTAGAATATATCGCATCACTCTGGTAAAATTAAAGCTTAAAGAACATCAAGTGAACAAACCTCTCCATAAATGTCCATGCCCAACTTTGATAGTTGTGACATTATTCAAAACATCATACGTAATTACTTCAACAGCATTGCCATCTAGAATAAAATAGCTATTTACTGTAAGGTAGAACACCATGACAGATCATGTATAGGTAGGAGCTTAATTATATATAACTTTCACAAAATTCTATGACTTGTAAACAACTTTCGAGACAAGGAACTATTTGCCAATAAATACTGTAAGAAACAATTCGTTCAGTTGTCACACAGAACGGTAAACGGTAATTTCAGTTTCAAAAAGTGTTTTGAAACTGAAAGCTAATTTATATAAGTAATAATAGTATGGTTTCGAGTTTCAATTTGGAAAAAAACATGCACGAGTCCGAAGGACGAGTGCAATTTGAAGTCTTTGAAAAACTCACGAGTGTATATGTTTTTTCAAATTGCACAAGAAACCATGCTATTACTTATTAATAACATACATGAAAAAATTATGCAGTCACGTGCGTAAGTCACATTTAGAAATTAAGAAAATTAAGAAATTTGAAAAATAAAAAATTAAAAAATTAAGAAAATTAGGAAATTTGCACTGTATTTCTTTTCTTGGCACTGTATTTCGAAAAAATTGCTCTGCTCTTAGCCAATCAGAATTAAGAAATTTTTTCATGTATATTATTAGACGAAGAAAAACATATCTCTATGCCTCCTCCACAGGCATCTCCAGGGAATTCGCAGGCTAACTGACTCCACGCCTGTGGAGGAGGCTAACATATCTCCAAATAGTTATGCTGTTTCACGTTAGGAGAGATGCTCCGACATGTAAAAGAATAGGGAATCAATGTACAAAGAAATTTAGCTAATTTAATTAATGACCGCCACTGAATTTACATGCTATAATGAATAATGTTAATACACGTGTTAAAAAGATGTAAGGAAAGGCTGGAGGCCATTTCAAATTATGCTATCATTATATATACAGGGTGTCCCAAAAAAAAGTGACACTATAGAAATTATCCTATTGTTATAATTTGAATGCCCTAGCACTAAGTTGATCCCAGAGGTGCATAAACTTCTGCTTCTGGAATTTAAAATAAAAAAGCAAACCGTTTATTAGTGTAATCGTTTTGCTTGACTCGGGCGTTAAAATATTTGGACAAAGCGAAATGTAAATACAAGTTCATTAAATTCCCAGGCGTGTAATCACGCGCGTTTAAGAGCGGCTTAAGAACAATGAGATAATTTCTATAGTGTCACTTTTTTTGGGACACCCTGTATATTATTAGCTTTGTTAATAAAAGTACAATTAAATTAACCTTGATCATATTGAAAGATATGCGCAGGTCCATCCAGTCGTTCTCTATAATCTTTGCTGTATATCTTAAATAAACCCTAAAACAATATATATTGCAAAGATGACGAACGCGTGTACAGTAATAATGCAGGTTTTATATACTTGTTCAGCACTAGTAGACTATTGCCGTCATAATGAATGATGTACAGTAAAATCTTTATATACGTACCGTAAGCCCAGTGAAAGTGACAGAACTTAAACTTGAAATAAGAAGTTCATAAAATGTTTCATTTCCAGTTTGGATATTTTCCAGTTTCACTCCATGATTTCTCACGACATGATCAAGAGCTTTCGCAAGGAACCAAGCTCCATCGTAAGAATACGAGGCAAGTGAAGGAATGAATGGCATGTTTAGTCTTTGAAGATATTCTATCCAAATTTCGAGCGGGGTCTGTTGATTAGAAATTTCAAATTAAGTCTAATTTGTCAAAATAATTAAATTCGATTGATACATGTTTAAACAATTAAATGCTAAAATTATGTACTATACTTAAAACGTCCCGACGAAAGGCCTTGAAGGGGCTCGAAACGTCGAAGTTCTCCTTGTATTTTTCATGTAGTTGTATCCCTGTCAATCTGAAGCTTTCTTATTATTGGTACACGTGCACTACCTAGTCTACCTACACTGGCACAGATTGTACTACTTTATTTAATCTCCTTATAGCATTTATGTTGCAAATGGTTTGAAACAAAGACGAATAGGAAGAATCATGTTGGCGCGTTCCAAATGCGATATACATCCAGGCGTTTTATGTTTATTTGAACACATCTCAAATGTCAAGATGCATGTCAGAGTTGAGCAAGCCTTGATTCCAGAACAGCTAGGTTAGGCTTTAATGTTAATCTCTTCATTTCTACAGCAGAGAGCATACAAGTTTTCTTTTGTCTTGAATCAAAACAGGACGCTTCTCGCATGCACAACAACCCGACACTAAAGATTTGGATTTCTGTTGCATTTTTATCTGCAGATTTTCACATGAAGTTTGATAAGTAATGATTTTCCTTTCCTTCTATGAACTGTAAAGGCTCAGGATAAACTGTCCTCCCGTAAACCATCAGTCCCGTACGCCTATGTTTGCATGAAGTATTGGTATTAATTTGTTTGCTTTGCTTGTAGAAGTTGTCTGATCCTGTATGTATGGCGAGCTGTAGAAGTTGTCTGATCCTGTATGTATGATGAGGGTTATATTAATTAAACAAAGTGCATATAATACTCACACGTCCTGAAATAGTGTTAGTTGTATTGTCGTGAACATTTACATTATCACCAAAACCAAAAGAATATCGAACAACAGTTTTCATGATTTCATGTTGAGTCGCGTTTGTATCGTGCCACCATGTTGCTGGATACGTTTCTAGCCAAATCCAAACTTTGTCAGGACCGTACAATCCAGCAACGTAAGCCTAAACAGAACATGAAATATTTGTCGGTTTTAGTGTAACTGTTTTTCTCGAATTTATCTAGTCTTAAACCAGTTGTTTTTTTCTTGCTCGCAACCTTTCGAAAGTTGCTTCTTCAATAAAAAATAACACGATTACATGTGTGGGTTAAATGTTGTCTAAAATCTAAATGATGAATGCACATCATCCTGTGGCCACCAATGAAGAAACGTAAGCCTGAACAGACCATGCACGATTACATATGTGTGGATTGAGGGTTGTGTACATGCAGATGGAGTTACCAATATTGTTACTGTTATCGTGTTGCATACTGGGATCACCAAAATTTACGGGCTTCTGAATTGCTCAGTGATCCTGGGAAAATTGAAACAATTGGCGATTTTAATTTCATGCAAGGAAATAATATGATACAAGGAACGACGTAGACAAACGAACTCTTGGTTAGTTACAAAATGGAGTGTTGGGATTTTGGTGGTGAAGAAACATTTACTAAATTTTCTTTAACGACTCAACAAAACTACTTAATAAACCATGGAAAACCTCTATACCTGGACGTCTCTGGCCTAAACGATTTGGTTAAAATTGATTATTTTCCCCTCACGAGTAACAGCTCGAGCCACTATACAACGCGATTTTATTTGGTCGATTTATGGTTTGGACGCATGTTAAAACAAGAAAAAGTCAGTGGTATGATCTGTGGACTCATCATTACCACCCCTCTGCATTAGCGTTGTTAAATACCATCCACCTAAGCCATAAATCATGCGCCAACCAAAATTTTAGGCGTTCACTCGTTTCGATGTATTTTCGATCTCTCTGATTCGATTTATTTATACAACTTTAACGCAAAGCAACTGATTTTCTATACCTGAGCCATCAAATTTTTTCCAAATGCTGAACTAACAGCTGTAATAATAATACGAACATCGTTATCCTGAAATGAAGAAAAAAATCAAAGAAGTTTTGACTAAAAATTCTTATTAAGTGAACAAAGTATATTCTTTATTTCACTAAGTAAGAGATTTACTGTATGATGAATTTTTCGATATGGAGGTCGGGGCCTTGAAACATTGCTGTAGAGTGAATCTGTGAATGCATGTAACAGACATCCTGCTTATGGAAATAAATCCTCTTATCTTATTTAGTTTCATGTGACAGGTTTAGCAAGGAGTAAATTAAAGAGGGGTGAAAAGTATCGAACCTCGGGAACATATGGGTTCATATCATTCCATTCCAACACTGCATATATAAAACAACGAAAACTTCGTTGTCTCGTCCGGGATTTCCCGTTGACTCGATAGCTCAATGGGTAGAGCGGCGGTCTAGAAATCCGACGATGTGAGTTTGAATACTGCTCGAGAAAACGAATTTTTCCTTGTTCTGTGCAGTGTCAGAATAATATGAAACTAGTACGAAAAAGTACCTTAATTTCAGCAATACTCTGTTCAATCTGGTCAGCATTTATTACTTTATTCCATTGAATATCAATTCCATTTCTTGCCATATCCCTTACAGCCACTTCGTAAGCAGTTTCCAACTGAAACAGAAAGCAGAAATAGCGCTATTTCATCAGTAACCACATCCAAACATAATCAGTGGACTTAGTGAAGACCAACTGAAAGAGCTATGTTTGCAATATTCTACACACCATCATTAAGGTCAGTCTATACACAATACGATGTGTTGCAATTCTTACTCTGGTGTATGTAACCAATAACTCTTCAATACCATCATATGCATATACATATTGATAATAAACAGGCGGAGGAAACTATCAAAAATTGGCTGGACACAGCATTTTAATTTCAGAGCAATCTTCTCTTATGTTTCATTCTGAGAGCAATGCTATTCTTATTTCTTCTTCATTACGAGGTTCTTACAACACAGTTCACAGAATTATTCCTCGCCCGTATTCTTGGATTTCATATGACGTCACGTGGGGGTCGAGGGTTTGTGTCAAGGTTAAAAGACGGATTTTATACTATTTATATTGTTTTAAATTGACTTTTATATTAGTTGGAGAACTCGTTTACATCATTTTGTTTCTATTTTGTTACAGTTGACCTCAGTTCAATGGTTGACCCCCACCAGAGTCAAATTATGCTAAAATATCACGTGATTGAAACCGAAAAATACGCTGATATTATTCATGCCACGTGACATACATACCAGTCCAGAAGCAGATTTTTCTCCAATGATTGCCACTCTTGACCAATTCAACATTTTCAACAATGCTATACTTGCTTGAATAGCAGGAAAGTCAGTTGGGATAGCGCGGTATAGTGATGGATACTGAGCGGCATCGGATAAACTCAGGCTGGTGGATGTATGGGATATCTGAAGGGAAACATACTTTTATCAGAAAATGATTCTATTTCAGATGTAATACATTTTAGCGCATACTATAGAAAGACAACCTCAAAACCGTAATTTGCACAAAATGAAATTCAATCCCCCATATAATTAACAACCTCTTTGCTATTATATTCAGCGAATACATTTTCCGATCATGCACGCAGAGACATTTTGATTTGGTAAAGTAAATTTTTCTAGTAAGAGCATGGTCATGTATATTGTTTAAATAAAGACGAATAATCTAATAATTCATTTGCGAGTCACACATTTTATGATGATAACAGAGTGATCTTGTCTTGTACTTTCCGTTGGTCCCATGCAGGCATCAAGATACTGCTGGTATGGTGGACCTCATTCAGTTACTGACTGTAAAGTCTTCTCACCTGAGCAACATTGGCAAAGGCTGTCATCCCAGCCAATGTTTGAGTTGCGTCAGAACATGCAGCACCATATACTGCCAAGATGCTAGGAGGTTGAGCAAGTAGAGTCACCAAGGAATTAAAGGATACTTTAGGATCACACTACAAATCAATGGAAAGATACAAACGAGGCAACGTTGATATGGACAAGTCATTATAAAGATTGAAATAATTCTACACTTTCTCCTACAAGCTCGCGAAAAGAAATGTAACGAGTATGTTATAATTTCAATGTTTAAGCGAACGTAGTTTGATTCGCAATTTTGGGCTCATGCAGCGAACATGTTATGATTTTTTAATGATTGTTTAAAACATTTCAAAGACTTCCCTAAAATCAAAAGGACACCATTACACCCCCTTAAGAAAGGGCAGGGAGGATGTTCCCTGCGCCCCCCCCCCCCCCAAAAAAAAAAAAAAAAAACACGTACCAATGTTCCATAAAGAACTTTAATTCATGAATTCTTCAATGTGAAAATATATATAGGGTAATGCCAATGGTTACGATTCAGTAAGGACAAGGGGTAGGAGTGTAGTTTAGCAGCAAAATACCAAATTTTATATGGGGAATGTTAACGGTATACTATAGCAATAGAAAGTAATTGCCAAATTTGAAAGAACTTATGCTATGACAATGAACAGCAATTATCTTATTTGAAAGAAGTTTTCTCAAATATTGCCGCTTAGTTCTTTCATTATTTTTCCGTTGGTCAATCCAAATTAATAAACTGTTGTTTCAAATTGACTGTCAACACCTTAAGCATCTAATAATTGTTATCACCCAGTATCACTTTTATAATTTATTATATATAAAACTTTTATAATATATTATATAGGGATGGAATTCTGTACTGCCATTGGCACTAAAACCGTTAATTACATAATATTTCATGGTTGAGCAAGACATGAAAATGGCTACACGAGTTTCAAAATAAAAGAAACTGGATTTTTGTTGTAATATTTCAAACAAGGTATCCAGTATTATCATGTGAGCAAAATAAAGTAATAAGGAGGGCTAATTTATGGGAATTATTAATTCATGGAATTATTAATGAGTTTGAGATCTATTGTTATATCCCTTTATTCTTGATTATGAAGATTGAAACCCGACTTAGGAATGTAATATTAAAGCTTTGTTCTATATATTATTGTAACAGTTACTTATTCACATCCATTTATAAAAATAGAGATTGATGTGTATTGAGAAACCCAGGAGCTACAGATAAAACATCATGGTTGATCGTCTCGATGGGAAAGATTCAGTACACGTCGGGGAGGGACATCTCGTGCTGTTACAAAATTATAAACTATGACGAAACAGTTATAAAACACATTCCATTCATTGTTATCATTCCAAACTACTCTACTTTAAAGCTTTCGATTACGAAAGTGAAAATAGTAATTATAATAAACAACACTTTGTGTTTGGTATCTCAGATTCAGAAAATGTATCTTAATATCCATATGTTGTGTGAATGTTTTTTGCTAATAATATATAAACATCCATGTGAAAAAAAGATAAGACTTCATTATAACTAATTGACGAAGAGAATTCATCCTTATTAATTTTTGGAAGCTAAAAATGATAAAGTCACTAAACATGCAGTAATGTATTATTCAAAAACGAGGTAGTCTGCAGTCAAACATGATGGATTGAAAGCACAACATTCATGACATCCAACGGTATCACATTTGTCAACATATATATGATAATATATAACTTACCTATATTAATAATCGTTATAATTAATATTAATTAATGTTATAATTATATAAGCCCGTAAGGTTAATAAAACTCGACAAGGTTATTAACAGAAATCGACTGACATAGTGTCTATATAAAGTATTATTTACGTTTCAAGTAAGTATCTGACCTTACTGTCTCCTGTGACCATATCTAGTGTGTAACCAGGCAGAATTGATGAATCATTATTGATGTGATCTAAGGCAAGTCTTGTTCCAGCTTCCAACACAAACCCCGGAACTCTTGCTTTGTTTGGCCAGGATGGAAACATACCAGCGAAGTAAACTGTCGTACTTGCTCCTGTCAAATGAACTAGTGAAAAACTAGAGCAAAGAAAAAGAATCAGCATATTTGGTGATACGTGCGAAGTTCTCGCCATGTCCAACAATATGATGTAGCAGCTTAAGATATCTATTCATGTCAAACACCTACGCTGTGACACTTGGTGTGCCATTGTGAAATTACAAAAGAAATTCCGTAATTGACAGAACGTTGTAAAAAACTATTTCTTCAATCCATCAAATATTCACATGAGGTCTTCAATATTGGCTACAACACTAATTGTTCCAATCAAAGCCACTTTTGATTTGTTGCACCACACATTATTTATTAGTTAAGAACAACGTGATATGAATATGTTTGAAGAAGCCAGCCCTTGAGACAGAATTACCAAAAACTTAATTAAGAAAATTGTACAAACACAATGAACACGAAAGAGGACCTGATATTGCAAATCAAAATAAACATTCCTCATTGGCAATAGCTTTATACAATGGCTTAAAATCGGATTAATACAAAAATAGACATATTTCGATCAATTCGTTCCTGACAAAGATAAAAGATGCCAGAGTCTGCAGTAGTTTCACAACAACCTCTAAACATTAAATATATCGTTTTTTTAAGCAGAGGCCATTTGTCAGAGAGAAAGGGGAATATATTTCTTGCGGTTCATCAGGTCTTAAATATTACAGGCTTTAGTTTGCGACTGTTCTCCTCCTTCTCCTGACTGTAATTAATTTTATTAAAAGTTGAACAACAAATCCATTGCATGATATCAAATGCCCTTCTCTTTAAATTTCGACTGATGACTTGAATCATTAACTAAGATTGACAGCCGATATAATTAAGCAAAATGCCACACAAAGAATAATTATTAAGAATGCTTTTCAAAATTATTGTCATTTAATTAAGTTGCTTGAATATTGGCCAGCCACTATATCATTTTCAAAGCTTTAAACTCAATTTAGGAGCTGTCTATATGAGGCAGGTTAGGCGGGCTAGCCCGACTACACGGGCTCATTCGTGTCACAAAAATATTTCCTTTGCGGCAACGAAGATACAGATTAACATAAAGATATTAAGCTTATATCATCTAAACCATTTCTATATCAACTTTATTTTAGGTAATTCATGATTGAGTCGGTTTTCTTTACCGAGGTGATTATTTTTAATCATCATCTTGAATATTAATTAGCTGAAATGATGAAGGAAAACTCAGAAAATTGTCGTTCAAAGAAGACGAAACAGACAAAACTTTGTTGAAAAACCTCCTCAACCATGAATTAAATATGATTGCGCGTCCTCGGGTCATTATCTGACATAAAATTAAAATCGCTCCCTCTCGGTGTTTATCCTAGCTATAGAAAGTCTCATAGTGAAGCATCTGTAACACAAAGTTAATTATTCAGCCTTGTTAGCCGGGCTAGCCCGTGTCTTATATAGATTAAGAGCCCCTTTAGTCTCATACTGTATGTGTCAAATGTTTCACAGCAGGACAAGGCGAGTATAAAGCTGCTAAAAATAAATATTACATTACTTGTATAATTGTGTAATAATTTTATTCCATTGAATCAGAATTCAACTAAAATGCTTAGAACAACGGAAGACCATTATTGCAATATTTATTATAGCAAAAATTATGACAATCAGCGTTATGCCTGTGCGAGAGAAGCATCACGAACGCGATTGTTAATGTATATTCAATTTAATCACAGGGGACAACTTCACAGGAGACAAGAATACAAGCAGCGTGATTTCTGGCATATTTATTGAAATCATCTCTCCCGTATATTAGTTGAATTGTGTTCAATATTATAAACTAAACTTTATTTCTATGGGATTGCATGCTCTATCAATTTGCTTCCAACTGCTCTCCTTAGAGATCCATTAAGGGTCACTCTTGCTGCTCTAGTGCTCTTGTGTTGCTACAGAAGGATAATGGGGTACCCGGAAAAACGGCGTTGCTTGCTAAATCACATTTCTTAAATGAACGGAGGTGAAATTGTTCATTCAGGTAATTGTACTGCAGGATGTGCAATATGTTTTAGAAACATATAGCATTATGTATCCAAATTATACAACTGACTGTAAAAATACTGCATAGTTAGCTATAGCATACCATAGCTAGCTATAGTAACTGTATAACGACTAATGTCATTTATGAAAATGAACAATTGACATGAAGGAAGTTCGGGATGGGATATACAGTACTGTCAGTACTGTCAGTACAGAGAGATACAGAGAAAGTAAACTACGGAAACAAGATTGGGATGGAAAAAATATTTAGATCCATTGTGACCACTAATCATGAAAATAACGTACAATCATTTTCACTAAATTACCAGCAATGAAATATTTCTTTGGCTAGTGCATTTGTATTGTTCAACCATACTAAATTACCAGCAATTAAATATTTCTTGGGCTAGTGTATTTGTATTGTTCAACCATACTAAATTACCAGCAATGAAATATTTCTTGGGCTAGTGTATTTGTATTGTTCAACCATACTAAATTACCAGCAATGAAATATTTCTTGGGCTAGTGTATTTGTATTGTTCAACCATACTAAATTACCAGCAATGAAAGTTGCTTGTATTTCCAAGTCATTATTTAAAAGAATAATATCTGCATCCGCACCATAATTTAATGTTCCTTTACGATCTGATATTTTAAGTAATTGAGCTGGATGTAACGACGCGGCTTCCAACGCTTCGACTTTACTGCAACCTAATAAAAAATCACGTCATCGATAACTTTAAAGCCTAGTTTCCATTTGGTCGTTAGTTGTCGCTGGCACGACAAGCGGTAGATGTGAAATAGTCTAATATAATAATAGTCTTTTGTGTGTTATATGCAAATCAGTCTTAATGATTGCAGAGTTTTATAAAGTTTTGTTGACACTCTATTACATCAGCCACTTGTCGTGCCAGCGACAACTAACGACCAAATGGAAACTAGG